TATATAAATTGAAAAGTGAGGCAACCATTGGTTGACTGAAAAATGCCCTTAAATCTATTAAATATGATGTAGAGCTGCTTCCACTCTTCAGGGACAGAGGAAGGGTAGCTTGTCCTTGTAACAGGAAGAGGGAATGCATAGAGCATCCTTCTTAAAGTAGACACAATGTTAGTCTGATCTAACACAACATCATGATACCCAGGGTTTCTAATACATATCAATTAATTTCTAGTATGTTTGGGAACATACTTAATAAAGAATGGGCCACTGAGAACCTTAGCGAGTACAGGTGTCTGTCACCAAGACTGACACTCTGAGTTCAATCCTCAGAACCCACACTGTGGAAGGAAAGAATTAATTCCCACAAGCTGTCCTCTGGCTTCTACATGAAAACTCCAGACATACACATACAGAGAGAGGATACTAAATTATATCGTAATTAAACCCGGAGATTTATAGTATGTTAAGTTCCATAGAGATGGGAACTACATTTGATTAACTGTGACAGTACACAGAATGCTATAGTCTCAGAATAAGTATTCTGTTAGCATTTGTGGAATGGATGAACAAGAAAGGCCGGAGAAAGCCACAAACCGATCTTCACTGCTCCTTCTGCCTTTGTGACTTCATTTTTAAATTTTCCTTTGAAAGAAGATGTGACATGCTGATACTTTCTGGAAAGAAGAAAAGAACATAATCAAGTCAGATTATCATTTTAAAGTACATAATAAGAGAATATTCTTCAGTAAGACTATATACTCCAGAGATACATAATTGTTAAGAAAGATTCATTGAGTAAATTACATCCAGCTGGTACATTAGCAGGCTTTATAACTAAGAAAAAAAATCACTTTCCTTTTAATGGCAGTTTCACTTTAACAAGGAAACGTCAGGAATGAGATGAAATATCTTCCCACACATATGTTCACTTACATGTATAAAATGGGAAAATTTTCTTTAAAAGGAAAAATAAAACTATGCAACTGTTCCATTGTCAAAGCTTCTTCTTAATATCCATAAGCCCTCTTACTCTGATCAGCACTGACACCGGGTAAACTGCTTCTCCTAGTCCCCAAACAATTATCACTAACTGAAATGCTTAGAAAAAAGTCATTTTAAATTACTAAAGGCCCATTTTCTGCTGTGTTGCTTAAGAAGCCCATTTTCAAGGTCCATTGTTTTACTGACAGCAAAGTTAGTCTAGAGCAATCACACAAAAGGAAAAATGAGTATGTGTTCACACCCATGAACCCAAGGCAAACAAGGGATAGGTAAGAAAAGCTCTGTGGAAGGTGGGCTACGTCCTTGAGCGTTGTTGGTTAGGAGGCCCCTGAGGTCCTCAAAACAACATGGCCAATTGCTCCTGCTCTCAGTTGTCCACCCGAGCAAGTTTTAAGTAAGTAATAGGTGAGACCCTATTGCTGAAGTTGCCACACGCTTTAGTCATAGGACATAGGAAAAGCAATCTGGATGTGGGCTGGGAGCCTCCTCCCTGCTGGCTATCCTTCAGAGTGCTGAAAGGTGATATGCAGGCTGCTGGGGAAGAATTGCCATCAACAGTCTACTCCTATGTGGATTCTTTGTGCAATGACAATGATCAGCCAGGCAAGATGAGCCCACTTGTGCTACAGTGTCAAATCTGTTATGGAAGTACCTAACTGCTCTCTGATTGGATTTGATGACTGCTCCACAGGAGGGAATTCACATCAGCTACCACAAAACTGGTCAACAGCTTGTGGCTGAAATCATAGGCTCTAATGGGGAAGCTGCTCCTATTTTGCTGAATAGACATGTTATACCTACCAAATTACCTTCTATGTAATAAATAATGTTACTGTCTGGTCTGATTAGAGAGGATTTTTTTCAGCAGTGGTCAGCAGTGACTGCAGAAGCACATAACTGGTCAAAGTACAAAAAATAAACAACCTTTTCATGCCTCACTATATAGAGGACATCTAGAACAACACCTCCAATACTCAGGGAATGGTAGAAGGCAGAAAGAATGGAGAAGAAATGAATGGGTGGGGTGGGCTGAGGGTGGGGGAGAACAGTGCAGAGTGCTGACTTGCAGTAAAATTCTTGAATTCAAAGCAGCTGTGATTATCTGCACAAGGTTGGATCCATCAACACCCTGTTATTAAAGGGTGATGGGATTCATGGGGCCTCATCTTTCTTTGAGGATTTAAACACCGATAACAACTAATAGAGGAGGGAGAGATATTTTCTTCAGTGGTGAGCCACTGAGAAAGGAGAACAGTCTTGTAAAAATCTCCCAACCATGTTCCTGTTAACAACCCTAATGAAATTCACTGGGTCAAAAACAAAACAACAACAACAAGGCATGAGAGTAGAATGAGGGGCTAATTGGGAAGGGGAAGGAGGATTAATAGGGGACAAGAGATGGTGACAAGGGTGAATATGATCAAATCATGTCATGTTCATGTGTGGGAATGCTACCAAGAAATATTATAACTGACACATGCTAATAAAAAGTTTAAAAAAGAAAAGCTCTCTGAATATGGTTAAAATTATACACATCTATTATAAAGGATGCTTGGGACCTGGCTATTAAATGGTGGCTTAAGCCAAGGCTGGAGAGATGGCTCAGGTGTTAAGAGCACAGGCTGCTCTTACAGAGGACCTGAATTCAATTCCTAGTACCCACATGGCAGCTAACAGCCATCCATAACTCAAATTCCAGGGGACTTGAGGCCTTCTTTTGACCTCTGTGGGCATTGCACAACACGGGTGCACTCACATATGTGCGGGCAATATACACATACACATAAAAATAGATAAAATATTCTTAAATTTTGACTTAAATCATCATGGAAAGAAACACTCTAGAATAATACTCAGCTTGAGAAAACCAAAGCTCTGCAGCCCTCATTTTTGTACTTTGGTCTCACACTCCTGTTGACTCAGAAGTATATCAATCTCTGACATCTTCAATGTTTAGAAAGACATGTAACAGCTAATTTTATGTCAACATGACTTAGGTATGGGACAGATTGCTAGTAAAAGACTATTTCTGAAGGTATAAAAATAATCCTATCTCTGTTTGAGCTGGTACATCCAACTCTTTTGCCCTAAAACATCAGAATTTTGGGTTCTGGGGCCTTTTAGCATACTATGATTTATATCTATAGCCTCCCCACACTTTCCCTGCCTAAGTTCTCAAGCCTTTTGGCCTCAGAATGAAATTCATATTATCTATCTGCCCCCTGGCTCTCAGGTCTTTGGAGTCAAGCTGAACTCTACGACTGCACTGCTGGGCCTCCAGCTTATACTCTGCAGATTGTGGGATGTCATAAATTCCATAACCGTGTGATGAACATCAAATTCCCATAACAAAGTCTCTGTCTGTTTTAGAGCTTCTGTTTCTCTGGAGAATCTTAACTAATAAAGATATCAGTGTTTCAGAAAAACATACATGAAGCGTATATGGATCATTTGTTGAAGCTCAAGCTGTTGTAAAATACATAAGAAGTGATGTCTAAATCCAAACTCAGGTCCTCTGGAAGACCAGTAAGTGTTCTTAACTCCTGAGCCATCTCTCCAGCCTATGCTCTGACTTCTAAGCAATGTAAGCAATAATGCAAATTCTTCACTGATTGCTGGTACAAACAGGTCATTTAAATGGTTCTTAGCTAAAGTCTGTTTAAAGTTCGTTTATTGATGATTCTCTCCTATTATCTTAACAGAAACAGTACAGATACACTGAAGACAGAACAGCTTCATGATTAAAAGGTGAACTAGACTGCCTAGAGTTTTTCTGTCTGGGTTCAGGCTGGGATGTAACCCTAATAGTATGTAAAGTTGAACCAATCACATCTCCAGCAATTCCATTTCCTCATCAGCAATTCCATCACCTCATCATTGGTGACAGCAGTGGTACCTACTCAGAGTTGTTATGGTAAGTGTGTCAACACAGCTAAGAAACTTAATGTTGGCTCACATTAAGTGCCAAAATGTGGTCTAATTCCACTAGTTTGTGTCTTAGAGAAGAAATGTGCTGCAGTGAGCACTGAAATGAGCAGTCAAATGAATTCTAAGAATATGAAGAACTTGTAGAACTTCTGAGTTATCAACATGAGAAAGCAAGTATTTAAAAAGTAACTAAATCCTGGGACTGGCTATATGGCTCAATGGCAAAATACTCAAAATATACAAGGGACTGGGATCTATAAAACTATAAAAACAAAGCAAACAAGACCAAAACCAAATGGCATCCTGTATGCATGTTGCTTAATGGTTTTGTGAACATTTACTATACAGGCTAACGTTCTACCTCTCATTGCTAACTTTGATTCAATATTCAGAGAAGAAAATATTGACTACAGAGTAGAAACACCTCCAGAGTTGAAGGTAAAGCGATTATCAGTCTGTTCCCTTAATTTTCTTTTACAAGGAACATCATTCGTTTAAATCATAATCTAGATGCAGTCCAAATTAGTCTCTATTACGCTCAGAGAACAGTGAAACCCAAGTTTTAAGGCATGCAATTATTGGTAACTATGTGCTGAAATTATCTTTTGCTTTTAAAAATCAGGTTCTAATCACCTACTTTATCTGGTTTGAATCATTCGTTTTAGGTCAAATCATATTTTAGAATTAAAATGAAATTAAAGAGATTGTTTAAACAATGAAGTAATTTTTCAAAGATAATGTGATTAAACTATTCAAGCATTTTTATAGAAACTAAAGGTGGCACAGGAGGTACCAACTCTGCATTAGTGCTTAATTTAAAATAACAGACCAAAAAATGAGTGAAATAAGCTTATCCCAGGCAATTTGCATACTGGTTTACAACTTAAATTTTACAATTGTTCATGACAAGTTAAACAAGGAATCTGCACACACTTCTAAATTTCTAATGGAGTGAATCTGTCTATTCTCATAAATAAGAGAATTAGAATTGCTATTCAAATCTCCATCCCAACCATGGGCGCCTCCACCAACCTGACACTTCCTTAAGTTTTTCTTTCTGGTGAACATGAAGACAAAGAGCTGTAATTCTACATCCAGAGGACGAGAGGGAAGGACTCCCTCCAGCTCTTAGTGTCTCCATCCCTGCAACCAACCGAGGGCAAGGGAAGTGTGTCCCTGAGACAAGCCTTCCTACCTCAGTGGCTAGAATTTTCTGGCTTCTACTTACCTCTGCCCACAGCCTAGGCTGTAGCCTCTGTTTTTCTAATTTCTGATGTCTCTCCTGACACATTTTAGTCTCTATCCTTTCACACATTTCACCTTCACCTTCCAGTTACTATTTTGCATTCAAATATTTTGGTTATGTGTGCTATCTATAAAATTGATGTATATTTTATCTCTAAAAGAACAGAAAATGTTAAGTCAATGAGAAGTATAGAAGGGAATGAAAATTAAAATGGTATGAGTATTTTGTTCCTTAAGCAAAAAAGGAAAAGAGGAAATACTGTTCAAATCAAGTATTGATTTAGAAAGAGGCAATATCCTGTTGGGTAAATTAACAGCAGCCATCAAAAATTAATGTATCTTCTGACAAAAATGCTTGCCTTATAATCCCTTCTACAGAGGTGACTGCATACACACATAAATAAACATTTAGATATGTCCCAGTACACTAATTTTAGCAACGTTTCAGGGATGTCCAAGATTTGCCATTGTGACATAATATTGTCATCTACGAAGCTCA